CCAGCACTCTGGAGAACGAAGCTGGGAGCGCCGGCTGAGGGAGGGAACAGAATGCCCCGAAGTGCTGCAAGCGCTGGGGTCCCTGTGTGCTGCCAGAACGAGGATCCAGCCCCACGGGCAGCCTGAGGAGCTGCCTGGTACCAGGGGCTTCTGCACCCACAGGGGATGTGCTGTGACCTGCCAGGTGTCCTCCTCAGTAATCCTGCCATGGGCAGTCAGCTTGGTGCTGTCTCCCCCCTCGCTGACTGCAGGGATGGGGATTTCTCCTAATACCCCCGAACTTGTCATCTTCCAGTGGAGTTATTGCTGCCACAGCCTGCTGCTCTGTCTGCTGCCTCATCTGAGGCACAATGCATGGACAAAGTATTGGGATTTGGCATTTTGCTTAGATTCTTCCTTGAGTGGGATCACTGAGCTTCTGTAAATGTTCTCAGTTCAGCAACTTGTTTTATTTCTCATTGTTGTAGTCAGACATAGTCTTTAGAGAGTACCTAAAAACATGATGTGGTTCAGGCATACTTTTAACTTCAGGTTTTGCTTCTTAAGGATTTATTTTTTATATTCTACCTTGCCTGGATCTGTTCCTTGCTTTTAGGAATTGTTTTATATTGTGTCTGTAGAGATGATGTCACAGTTTTGTCATTGGTTTCTTCTGGTGGTATTTTCTCTTCCCTAAATTTGTTTGAAATCATTTTCAAACATGGTGACTCAGAACCATATGTTAAGATGTTTAATAGCAGTGAGACAAAACTGTTTAATGAATGTTGTAGAACTTGATAAATCATTGCTTGTGACTAAATATATATTTTTTTTCATTCTTCCTTCCCTTGCTATCTCTCCCAGGAGAAAACTGCTGGCTAATTCTGTCAGTTTGAAACAGAATGGCATCAACACCAGTGTTCCTAGAAGCTGGAAGTCTCCCATGGAGCAGAGCCCTCGTGTGTGTCCTGGTGCAGGCTCTGGCCCAAGCTGGAGCTTCAGCTCTGACAGAAACTCCCCCAAATCCACAAACCTCCCGTCAGTGCTTTCTGTTCATTCCAGCAGCTCTTCTGCCAAAGCCAACCAAACCCTGGACAGCTCTTGTGCTCCAAGGCAGGGTGCTGAGGAGACCCCGGGCCCTGCAGCGCTGCCTGGTGCCAGGGCAGGTGCCAGGGCAGGTGCCAGGGAGGGAGCTTCCCTCAGGCTGAGCCTGCAGTCCTGCGANGGGCTGGAGGAGCAGCTGGGTGTGCACCCCGGGGCTTGGCTTGCCGTGGCTGCTCAGGAGTCACGGGTTGCTCCGTGCTCGGCTCTGGCAAGCAGCCCCGATTCCCTTCTGGGTACCCCCAGTCTGGAGGCGGGACAGCGTCCTGCAGGAGCAGCAGCTGCTCTTGTACTGCAGTTACAAGATTTATGGCATTCCTGAAATTATCGATAACCTATAGGGATGCTATGGAGAGAAAAACACTCAGAAAATTCATGCAGGAGACACCTGAACAGACCTGAATGCAACAAACCAGAAAAAGTGATTGCTCTCCATTTTTAACACAAGCATCAACATCACAAAAAAACTCCAACTCTCAGTTATGATCACAAAATTCCTGCCTGTCATTGCTTTGGCAGCTCTGTCCCACAGAACTGCTTTATTTTAGATTCCTTACCTCCTGTGTTTTGAAACTTTGGACCTTTATTTGGGAAATTAACATGTTTATGCAACTGAAAACATCAAAGAATGTTCCGGGATGCTGCCCTTACACTGAGTGGTGAAAACATTTGTGAACTGTATTTCTGTTTTTAATATTTTGTTGTCTTTTCCTTTCTCGGTGAAATTAATTTCAATAAGTTAATGATATTGACCTCTCTTTGTAGGATTTGTCTTTTAAGACACAATACATGTACATTTACCTTCCAGTTCCAGTACAGGGATTGTGCCAGCTAATGAGTCTGCACTCTTTTAAGGCTAGGATTTCATATAATAGGAGCTTTTAATAGAAACAGGTTTTTGTAGAAAAGTATTGCAGAAAAATAGATCTCTTCAGTGTTTCACTTCTGCCAGGGACAGGTGACTGTAGGTTTATTCGTATCACTTTTCCACTTCCATGAGGGTTTGTGGGGATTTGTCTGTCTGTTTTACTGGGGAGAAAAGGGAGCAGCAGTTTTTATCCTCTGGAACTCAGAAGCCGTATCCAGCGAGTGTGTTGAAGCCTGGCTGCTGTTCTCCCCTCTGTGTGTGGCAGGCTGGCGCAGTGTGCAGCGTCACCCAGCAGTGTCAATGCCCTTCTCTTGCAGCTGCAGGGGGCCAGGAGCCACAGCGGGCTGGGAGCAGCTCCCCGACGCTGGATGAGGCCGCGGGGCCGTGGGCAGGCGCTGACATCGCCGAGGATGACCTGGACATCATCCCTCCCTCCCCTGAGGAGGAGGAGCTGCCGCCCTTCTCCCCCTCTGCACAGAGCGCCGGGTAACCAGAGCTCACTGCTGAAACCATCTGTCTGCTGCAGGAGCACGGAAATACCAAAAACAGCCCAAACTCCTGCTTGTTAGTGAGGCACAGGTTGAGCTCTGTCTCTTTGCTGCTTGCCAGGTTGATGGCTGGCAGCTGCAATTAATGCTTTATCAAATACTAATTTTATGGCTGATAAAATTAGTTTTAGCTGGCTTTCGCTTCAGAAAAAAGCGGAGTGAATTCTGTAGTGGGATGGGAGAAAATTCCACATGTTGGCACCCAGGATGAGTGATTGCTCAGCTTTTGGGTTCTGCCTGGGCCTTCAGGAATTTATCTTACCACATGCCTTAAATCCCACTGTTCTGTGGAAGTGCCTCAGTTTACAGAGATCTGTATTTTCATGGCTTTTCCTTTTGGTGTTAGCAGTGTTTTCAGAGACTCTCCCACTGGAGGAAGGTGCACACCTGGCATCTCTGAGGCCAGGCAGGAGAAAGTTCCCTCAGCACATCCTGGTGATGCCAGTGCAGGAGATTCAGGTACACAAAATGCTTTGGAATTTCATATCTCTAATTTTGGGGGTAGTTTGTAACTATTTATTATCCTGTGTAATCCAAGAACATTAACAGATGGAGAATGAGCATCTGTAGATGGAGAGTTGACATAAATGGTTGGATTATAGACAGATAAAAAAAGACAAGGGCAAAAATATGTAGATTCATGGATTTCCTGCACACAGAAACAGTTTCTTTGTGCACATGGACTAAAAGTATGTTGGAAGTAAATTGCTCAGACAGATTGAGTGCAGTCACTGTCCTCTGGAGGGTGGCATCCCGTGGGCACTGTTGTGATCAAAGTGCCTGTGCTGAGCTCCCTCCCCGTGGCAGGTGAGGCCGTGCCGGTGGCGCCGC